TCACAATTGGCAGTTGCTGTTCCCTCCCCAGGGGGGTCAAAAGGTCATCATAATGCCAACATTTGCTAAAGGACAAATGGTTAAATATTTTCGTATAATCTTTTTAAAAAAAAATAACATTAAAAAAAATATGTTTTTTTGCTTTGCTCGTAGCGAATTTGGGGCCACTAAAATTATACTTATTACGCAGTTTTTGTTTGCCCTGGGAAAGGGGACAAAGTTACCAGTCTATGACAGGGAAAGCTTGTGTGTATTTAGTGGTGTAGAGAGAGAGAGAGAGAGAGATAGAGTGAAGTGTAGCATTACCAGTTCCACTTCATAATTTTGGAAAGTAGTGTAGTATTACCACCCAACAGATTCATTCCAAAAAATAAAAGAATATTATTACCGTGGGATGGCCACATGGTGCTAAACATACTGACAACTCCTGGAGATGAACAGGGCTAATATGAAATGATTGTGGACTAGTACTTAAAAGCCTGTAATTATTTTTTTCTACGGTATGATGCTAATTTGTGGATATTTCAAGAGAGGTTGTATAGTAAATTCAAGGTTCTGATAAAAATATGATATTCTAAATCAGTTAAATAGTAGAAACATTTGTGCCTTTATTTTCCATTGTTGAAATGTTCAAAATATGGTTCTCCATGCCAGGGGATCTAATGTACAGTTTGTTTGAATGTTTTCTTTTTGCTCTACAATGTTGCCCTCTAGCGGTGGCTGGTACAAATGCTTTTGTTTTTAATTCACATTTCTTTGCAGACATCTTTTATTTCCACCTTGAAAGGAGGGGGGGATGATGATTATGTATTTTACAAAAAAATAAATTTTAGTGATTTTTTCTAGTATCATGTGTATCCAATTTTTTACAATGAAGTTTTGTTTTCATGCAGTGATGCATTTTTACAATTTTCATACAATCTAAATAAAAGTTGACGGCAGTTTTTTGCTGTCACTGTTATGATACTAATGTGGTCTGTTATAAAGGCGTAACATTTACAAATGAAAAACAGACTGAAAGCATTTTTACTATAGTTCCATTTTATGGAATGCATTGACTAGGCACCGCGGAATGGTTTTATATGGTTTGGAACATTGATGTAGATGCTGTTTTTTTGGTATTTTTATTTTGGTTGCGTTTACATGTCAACATACAGCCTGGGTTAACAATGTAAAAACTTCTATTTATTTGCTTATTTTTTTTTTTGAAATGTTGTATAGTGTCGAGATGACTGGCAATAAATCTAAATAAATTGAAGCTAAAGTATGCTTAGTTTGTTGTTTTTATTTAAAACTTACTATATGAACTTAATGGGCATCATTATGTTTGAGTATGGGTTTGTGTATGGCAACATTCATTTACTCAAAAAAACAAACAAACGTGCACTCCAACCATATGAGATTTATTGTGTATATTTGTGGTTTATTCACAGTACGTACAACAAAGCCTAGAAAGTAAGATGCTAACTATTGTATGAAATCACAGCTTATTATGAAGTAGTCTTTACAAAATGAAATTGACTTTGTTGCATAGAAATGCTTTATAAGGGCATCCCCCAACTAAAGGAATTATTGGGCAGTGATCGCCACTCCGCGTCCTGTTCGACATGGGACTCAGATATACACAGAATGTGTAAAATACATTTACATGAAATTTGAACACTGACTGCGCAACAACCACTGCCCAACGAAGTAGACATGTCTAGCATAAATTCATAAGTGTAGTTCAGTAAAGTTGCTTGTGATGTGATGGGCTGTTTTTACTCATCTTTAGTAAATGGGTAATACTAGCCCATGACGCCAACTTTACGAATAAATGATATTAAGTAATAACCTCATAATATCACTTTTCTGTCGCTCATTACTAAAATGAAAATACTTATCTGAAAGGTACACCACACTTTTAGAATATTTAGTGTTCATAAAAACACCTTACAAATCCCTGAGAATGTGTCTCCTTATTTATAGTACTATTTTACTTTATAGTGAAAAAAAATAACAGTCTTGGAAATTAACAGCCACCCCCTACCGTCCAAAAACATGCAAAGTATTCAAAACAACCCCAAAGTCTCGAGGATTTCTTTACCTATTCTATATAAATCATGAAGTCAAGCAAATTTTCATGAATAGCACTACTTACATAAATTACTGATGTATGTGTGACACTGTGTATCATGAAAATACTTCTACATGTACCCTACAAACGTAGGGACAAGTATTTCATATCTTCAAAATTTGAAATTTACTTTAGAAAACGAGATTTCAATACTGCCTTCATATTTTTGTGAAAATTTTAATTGTTACCAAGGATTTATAAGATAAGGATATGCAACTCAAATATTTATGTATGATGCTATGCAATAAAGATGTTGACCAAATTCTGTAACGGTTTATCAGTGATTTTGTGTTCACATGACTTGGTCAATCAGATCAAAATAAGATTTTTTTTTTTATTTTGTTAAATACATTTTATGTACTGTAAAATGACTAATTTTCACTGGGTTTAAATTTCGCTGATTTACCATTTCAGGCATATTCATTGATTGGGTTTTAAATTCACAGTTTTATCATTTAGATAATGTGTTCTATGCTTAATTTTACATATTCACTGGGTTTTAATTTAGCGCATTTTCCAGTCAGCGAAATAAGCAAAATTAAAACCCAGTGAATAATTAATCCTTTTACAGTAATTATTTTTGTTTATATATTTTAATTTATGATTTATTCCCTGGTAGTTGTTTCAAAGTTTTTAAAATTAGATACTAAAACAAGTCCCCGTTAAGTTCTCTTTGTGCTCGTCATATTAAAGCGGAGGGGTTGTTGCGAGCGTGTCCTTGAAACTTGAGTTCCAAGTGGCGTATACAACAGATTGTTTATTTACATCAAAACACGTGTTTCGTGTCATAGTAATATGGCCAAAATAAAAACAGCCGTTATTCAGCCATCTTTGATCTGATTATGAAACACACTGATATGTATGATGTATGTGCCAAATACGAATGATAATGGTACATAAATTGTGGAAATATAGTAGTAAGGCCATAAAGTCAGATGGCTGTCAATCAGCCATCCTTGACAAGATTTTGAAACAAATTGTCATGGACATACAACCTATTATGTATAAAGTACATGTATGTGCCAAATTTGAATGAAAACTAACAGAGCACGTCCAAGATACGGCATAAAAATACAAAAACAAGATGCCTGCCAGTCGACCATCTTTGATCCAATTGCGAAATAAATTTAGCAAATTTGAGGACCATATTTGATTAAATGGTATTGAAAATCTTCATGCATATGTAAGTAACCATTCATGGTCTTCGTTTAAATGTTATCAGTCAAAGCATGCCTGAAAAATAGCTCTAGATGGAGAGAAGCCGAATTAAGTCTTTGATTTTGGAACTAAACGGTAAATACGGTAAAAACATATCAGATTTTAATACTTGCATACCCTGTTTTATAAATCCTTGTGGAAATTTATAATCATATCGGTACTGTTGTGAAAGGTGACAAAAGTTGGCAATGACAGTCGGTGGTATGTCAATCAAAGTCGGTGGTACGCAAATCAAAGTCTGTGCATATAGACGCTAGTGACAAAATATTAATGTTTTAGTCTAGAATTCTGATGTGATTTGTCACACATATATACATCTGTTATACATTAATAGAATAATGTAGTAAAAATCAAGTATGTTAACAAAAGTTAAAAACTTAAAAGAATCAATTTCATTGTTATCATGGACAACTGATAATAAAACTCAATAATAAATCTGATGCATGTTAAAAATATACGACTAGGCACTAGACTGCTAATAGATTTCTCAAGACTATTGTTTGGTTGAAGATCGCTAATGCATGTCAGTTATTCATTACTCTCACAGCCATATTGTTCCGAACACCAAAACAGCATTGTTACATGATTAGAACTGGTTAGGTCAAACAATTGTTACAAGGTTGTGCCGTTCCACTAAATACGTGCAATTACCAGTGTTATGCCAAGCACCAGTGACTGACATTTCAGACTATGTCAGTACATACATTTTGTTTGGATACCTTTGCCATTTATCATATAGCAATTTATATGATCGGATGAAATAAATTGAAAGGTGATTGCATCATGATCTTGTATTTATATTCAATATGTTCAAATCCCCTACTATTGGTTTGATGCCTCCTATTTGACCCAAGTTGTTTTAATCGCGAGATGATCTCCTGAAGACACACATTGCAAACCAGTCAGCAACTTAGTTGACAATGTTGCTGTTCGGCACTGTATGACAATAACAATGACACTTCTGCATTATTGTGTAATGGATAGAAGGGAGCTTTTACAGCAAATAAATCACACTATTATACATCTGTCACCGTAATGCCATACTTGACAGCGTGCCGTAATTTTGCAGTATTTTACAGGGTATTTTCATCCTATCATATGAGGAAATTCCAAATACGAAATGATCACGCACATAAACGTTCTTTAAAAATAAAAACAAACATGGCTGCCACTCCGGTTTGACTGGACTCAACACAAAGAAGTTCGCTGATTCTGTTCTATACATTTTTTATTTCAGCATTCCCATGATGTATCCTTCGAAGGAAAAGATGTATAATAATGTTATTACTACAGTACTTATTACAGTATGCCATCGCCGATACTCGCTGTTCTGTCTTCGTGCATATTTTGAGGTATCCTCGTAATAACCTCATATTGTTGTTTTGGTAAAATCCAAAGATGGCTGCCACCAAATTACCATGGTGGGTAACATGCGTGTCTTATCGCACACACTATGGACTTTCAAATATTTCAAAACTCAAAATCATTGGAACTGACCTGGATGCCACTCATCCCAAGAAAAATAGGAGACTTTCAGAAAAAATCTTGTCCAGAATTTCTTTTTGAGTAACAAGTAATAATGCAATGAGACATACTGCAGCATTGAACCACACTTTCAAGTCAACAAACAGGAAGTGTTCGACATTGGATTCTTTTCTTTGACATTTGCAGTAGTTGCATATTACTGCCCTCATCTCCACTGGTAATTGCACTCTCATTATATCATTAAAAAAAATACTAGATAATATCTTACACCTGTTTAAAATATACGTTCCAAAATGTCAATATCATGTTGACACTTTTAATGGCATTAATGCATGCTTCATCTTTTCGTAGACCACAAAAGTGATGCAGGTTGCCGGGGTTACCCGTAATAAATTTGGTGCCAAACCCTTGTAGAAACCTTTGTATCTTTCATATCTGTGTAAACAAAAAAAAAAGTGAAATGAAGTGTGTGTATGGGGGGGGGGGTCAACACACTGGTTGCTGATGTTGTTTTTCCTCATCCATCTTTGCTATTGATGGAGAATTCAGCAAGTGATGGAGAGACATTTTTTGCATTTAATTACATACTACTGTAGAGAGGAAGATAATCACTGGGTTTAATTTTAGTGGATTTGATGTTACAAGGGTATTTAGGCCAGACTTGTTTTATTCCTTGTTTCTCGAGTTTTTATAAGGCAATTTTTTTTAGGAGGGCGGAAAAAAATAAAATTAATTCTTTTTTTCCATTAGATTTGTGTGATTCTCAAAGAATTTTAAGAAAGATCATTGATCGGAGGGAAGAAATGAAATAACATTTTATTCCATGTATAACCTTGTTTCTCATCTGCGGGAGACTTTGGTACTTTGATCATGATACTCCTACGGAAATGCAACTTGGATTTGTTATGCGGAGGGCGGTAAAAAAATGAAGATAAAAATAATATTTTTTTAGCAATTTTGTGCGCTTACAAGTCGGTGGGCGCGAGAAATTACGCTGAAATAAAATTTTATTTTTATTTAATTTTCGGCTCCTGTTCATTCGGCGGGTTCGCGAAACAAGGGATAATAAAAGTCTGGCCTTAGTAGGTTTTGAATTCATTGCTTTGTATATAAAACAACACAACTGTGACATTGTGAAAATTTGAATCTTAAATCTCTGATGTAAAAGGCATGGGTAAAATTTGAAATGAATACACGTGGATATGTGTAACGAGATAGATGATGTATACATGAATGGTAAACAAATCGCACATGTCTGAAATATAGGTGCAGACACATGACAGGACAGATGTGAGTCCCTGTTTGTGGACTTTGATCTGAATGGTGAATAATAAAACTCAGCAATTAATCGACACCTACTACAGCGTAATAGACAAGTTTTGAGTTACAGTGACATCAGTTGGTTTCCGTGCGAGAATCGGGGGTTGATTTTTTAGCTCATGTAATTTATTCTTTGGTTATATTCTGATGAGCTATTGAACATTTAAGCAGCAAAATCAACTCCTATACGCAGACAAAATGGAAACGTTTTTTACACCTGAGTGCACAAGTTTCCAAGGTGACGATGTAACTCAAAACTTGTCTATTGAAGACAACACGTAATCTCAATACTGTGTCAACGAGATATTTGTTGTGTATCGCTATGCAAGTGGCACACATCTAATATAATAAAATAATATTGCCATAGTTATTAAAGACTAAACACAAATTAGGTTTAATTATGAAGTTTACTTACTTCCATGTTCTGTTGATAACGTCTATGACACCTTTGTAGGCTTTGTGTTGGTCTTGTAGTCGAGCACGTACTACTTGGTACGGGTAGGTCACGCTGACGGCAAATAGTTTAGATAACGCAGCAAATGTTATGTACTGAGTGGCCCCCTGTAGGTATGCAAATGAACTTGACGTTATTGAGCAGAAAAATTAAGAACGTAAACACAAACATTATTTTTTTTATTCTGCTATGTATTGTGAGCACATTTAATTATTCACTGCATTCTTTTTTGGCTATAAGTGAAATTAAAACAACATGAAAATTTAGGCATAAAGTTTCATCAAAAAGCAACATATGGTTCAAACAAACACACACACACAGACAATGAGACACACAAACACACAATACAGACACACACATACTTGTATTGCTATATGTTCCGAGGACTTCATTGGATTAACTTTTAATATAGTTGAATTAACTTTTAATATAGTTGCGATATGAACTCGATTAAAACGCGTTCCTATATAGGGTTGCGTTTTAATTGGAGTTTAATTAAACTCAATTACAATGCAATACAATGGAGAATTGCATTTTAATTAAGTTTAATTAAACAAGAGT